CTTAGGATCCAACCGCAGTGGTGCCATTCTAATTCGCACGTGCTTGCAATTTGGCAAATCCCCCTAATGTCGGGCCCTTCAATGTATAAATCTTCATTATGCACAAAAGCATTCCCCGGCTCTCCGCACTCAACTTATGCTCTTTTATACGAGTTCCTCGTTCGTTCGTTTGCCGCCTTTCCGTTTGATTTCACTTGGCTTTGGATCAAGGACTCAGGACGCAGGATACTCGCACAAAACCCGCTGAGGCGTATTTGTACCTTATTTATTTTGCTGTCATAATTTATGAATCCGCTGTGCGTACGTATAAAGCATTCGGATTTAGCCATCACCTATTGGGCCACGAAGGATGGCTGGAAATGCGGCTAAAAATAGACACTTTCGAGGGATTCTCCAGCCAGGACTTCCTCGCACAAGACTCCGCAATTAGCCAGGACTTCAGAGCGGGCTTCTTCCACCGCCAACTATTTAAAACTTGGCAGTTTATGGGTTGGGTCGGGGCATATTGTGCCACAAAGAAAGACCGAGCTCGAGCACTTAGACACGAATTGAAATAAAATAAATAAAATTAGAATTCCAGGGCCTAGAGTCGCCCCAAAATGGCAGCTTCGTTCCCCATTTCTCCGGCTGGCATTTGCCATTCCCTTTTCGCTTTCGGCTTTTGGCCAGATAGAAAGCCAATTTTATGACTCAACTTAAATAGGCACTTTACTTTTGCTCTTAATGCCTTTTTACGAGAGACTCGCTCTTCGCGAGGAGCTCAGTGGAGGTCCTTCTTCCCGCATCTCGGATCCCGGATCCGCGACATTAATGATTGCCACGCCTTTGTCGAGGGGCTTTATTGGAAAATAAATGGGCGAATAGTCGCGGCAAGTGTGTGGCGCACTTATCTGATTTTACACTTGCGACCATCAAAGTTATGAGAGTCGCAAAGTGAATCGTTTGGCCGCGACGATCAACTTTGGCCAGAAGTTGCCAAGTTACAAAGCAGCCATGCGTGGCCCATTTTCCCAGACTTTCAATTAAATGGCCGCGGGGCAGCGAAAAGTTTCCCGTGAATCCCGGGGATGCTTCCATGGCCTCCGGCTTGAGGTCAGGGGCCGTTGACGCATTTACACACAAATTACCGCCAAGTGTCAAATGCAAACATTTCGACTGAAACAACAAACAATATTTGCCATAAAAACAGAGAGAGCGCCGAGCCATCCGCAAACGGAAAAGTTTCGTAATGAAGCAAGCTAACCAACCCAACTTTCTAGAGTTCAAGTTTACTTTAAAATTTTCGCGAACATTTTTGGGCTGGCCTTGGGAGCAAGGTTCTAATTGTTAAATTTCAGCATCGGACCATATATTTAATTAAAACTTTTCCATTCGCTGGCTGACTGGCTGCAGGCTTCGATGTTTTATGGTCAATTGTCCCCGTGCACTCGATGGCCATAAAAAGTTGGCCCGCATTTGTGTCAATTGTTGTAAATAACTGCCACCGCAAATTTAGTTAGATCCAAATGGAATAAATTATGCTGCAGGGCATCACAATCGGAAATGCACTCGCCATTTATTTGTGTTTTAATTAGAGAAATTTATGCACACAATGTTCGTTACATTAAATATGAAATCAAATGAAATTAATGAGTCCGGCACAGGATGTCGCTGCCCGCACAATTATCATAATGATATTTGCAATGTTTTTTGTACGCCCTTAATTTAATTGGTGACAACGTAGAGACATTAAAACAATTAAATTAACAAATGGCAAAATACGAGGTGGATTTGAGTGAAAAGTTTTTGCTTGGGTTGCTGTTTAACTAAATTTTAAATGTGTAAATTAGATATTCTAAAGAGATAATTTAATATGTAATCAAATTAAAGTTTTATTATAGAGCAAAATAACGATTTTCCAAGTAAGAATTTTCTAGTTCTTGTAAGTGTTTCCATAACGTGTATCGCCTTTTGTCCCTGGTTGCTTTAAGCCGCATTCATCGCACTGCGAATTTCGCTCGTAAAAAGCGAGCTTCGGAACTCGTTCTTTTGGCATCACGCATACGCCGTGTGTGCGCAAGCAAACTTAATTAATGTCAAGCCGTGATGTCACAAGCAGCATAAATATTCCACGACCGCCGCAGTTGGGCGTCGACACGAGCACATGAGAAATCATTGATATTAGTCGAGCAGCGGGATTGCAGGATGTTTTAAGGGGATTTCGGGGGGTTTCGTGAGTGTTGAGGGGGCTGAGGGGGAATCACCCGGCTTGCAGCGAACTTTTGATTAAAATGTCGTAACAAAGACAGGGAAAAGCGGGAAAATCGGGGCAAGCGGCGACTGAAACTTTAGCGAACGCACACAAATTGCGAATGTTTCGCCAAACGGCAACGAAAAGTTGCCAAATCCCAACAAAAATGTTGTTCTATCTGTATGGCTCTGGTGCAACATGTTTGCGGTTCCGGGCTTTGGGTTTGGGTTCGGTCTTCGTTCTGGGCTTTGGATTCTGTATACTGCGCTCTTGGCCAAGGGATTCCTTTGCTGTTGACAATGCGCAGCCCGCCGTGGTTTCACAATGCAGAGCGATTGTAAATCCAAAGCCCGACCGCTGGAAACTAGAAAAATACGAACTGGCAGGTTGCAGGATGCAGTCCGACAACTTGCCGTGAAAAATTCAATTACAAAGTCGCACAAACCATCGAAAGAATGCAAATTTACACGCCAGAAAATGGAGCAGTGGAAAAGGAGAGAGGGAGAGGGGGAATGGGAATGGGAAAGTGGGAGTGGGAAAGGGAAAGGGACAGTGGCAGGCAGTCAAACACCGCAGCAGCACCAACAACTGGCAACTAGTTCAGAAGCCGTTTTGCGGTCCGCCGGCGACCATTACGATTACGTTTACGTATGCAGTGGATGGTGGGCGGGAAAGTGGGAAAACTGCGAAGCTGGGAAGCTGGGAAAGCGGGAAATCGGGGGGAAAAGCTGCATGTCGCAAGCAGTCAGTCACGTGCGAACGTGACGAAAATGCCACGATTCAGTTTTGGCCAAGTCCTGCGTGCCAATGAGCAGCAGCAACAACAGCAACAGCAGCAACAACAACATCAGCAACATCAGCAACAGCAGCAACAGCAGCAACAGTCGCAGCAGCAACACCAGGAGCAATAGCAATAGCAATCGCATTGTCCCGAGCTGGTTATTTGTTTGTTTTGTGCGTGTGCAGGATGAAAAGTCCTGACAGTAAAGGCACTTGGAGAAATGCACTCTTTTCTCTTGAAACCTACCAAGACTTCAAGCCAGGATTGGTTAATTTGTAAGAATATCTCAACAGCTACCATTAGGTTTAGTAAAGAAATTATACACCTCTATTTACCAAAGTTTTACTTGTAATGTTTGCATTTAGGTAACATTTTCTGGGTTAGCCATAAAAAGAGGCTTTGAAGCACTTTCAATTAGAGTGGAAGACAGAATGCCTTTTTCTGAGTGTGACAGGTGCTCTTCGGGGGAAACTCCTTCGTATTCATAAGGCAAGGTGCTGAGCCACAACAATGGGAAAACCGCAATGTGCAAAATGCGACTGCGAACTGCCGAGCTGACTGACCTCCAGGAGCAGGAATCCTTTTGCTGTGCTGTGCGGCTGCAGTTGCAAATTGCTGTGGCAACACACTCTCACATGTCAATTGGAGGAGCAATCGGGTGAATTCTAAGGTGTCAATCAGAAGAAGCTGCATTGATTGACTCGATTGTTCGCCTGTGCGACACAGCTGGGTAAATTGATTTCCAAACCTCTGCGGCGAGCACTCGAGGAAAATTCCTTTCAGGGCCGAAAGACGAGGGATGTTAAGATGTTTGACATCCCCTCACCTTTTCGACTAATAGCATATTTGGTTTCGTAGCCACGTGCTAATTAAGTGTTCAACTCGGATGCAAACGACCCCCGGCGAATTCCATAACTAATTAATATTGCATCACTCAATGCACTTAGTGCAGGCGCCTTGGCCACCAGACGGTCCCTAAATTCAATCATCGTCAGGCCGAACATAATAAATTTACCAATGATTCACATGAAATATTTACGGTGCGACCAATGGACAATGACACACAGGTCTCCACGGACGTGGTCCTGGCCAAATGAAAGCCAAACACCAGCATTTTCACCAGCATTTGTGGCCAAGAAATCAAAATCAAAAGCGAGCCCGAATGCATTGCCATAATTGAATTTACAGCCTGGCGAATTCAGCCTAATTGCCGCTGCTAAACAAGACCCAAGCATGTTTGCCAAAAGCAATTATCTTTAATTGTGAAATATTATTCTGTTGCCTCAACGAATTTTACACAAATTACGCAGCGCAAATAAAACCAAAGGCTGAAATGGGTAATGTGTAATGAGGTTCGTGTTCTGTGGGTGTATTTTTGGCCATTTCAAAACATGGCTAAGTGAGGGGATATTGGAAAGGGAATGGATTTTGCATTGCGGGAGAAACTTGTAATGTACCTTTAGATTCAATTAATATTTCAAACTAGAAAATTATTATTGAACGTTGGTTTTCAAAACATGATGTTTGTATACCTTTTTTATTTATATTAATTACAAGTTTATTTGCAAATAGAAAGTGTTTGTTTTACATTTTTGAATTCACCTTTATTAATTTGAAACTAAAACATAATTAAAATATTACAACATTTTTAATAGTCTAGGGCTCTTTAAAAACCAACTTATTTGGTTGACCTCGCGCTTCCCACATTTTCCCGAGGTCCTTTCATTTCTGTTTAGGCTAAAAACTTTGCGAAAGCCTGACAAAGTTGTCGGCTTAATTAGTGCTGTCACTTTATGCAGATTCGCTGGGCGCGTGCTAATGAAAATCCGTTGTAAAATATTACGTATACGCACGCGCTCGCTGCTCATTCAAATTAATTGACTTCATGCTGTTATTGTTTATCCGACAAACTGTTGCGGCGCCACTGGCCATCGCATATATTAACACATTTTAAAGCGTCACCTCGACTTTTCCGCTCTTCCTCCGCAGACCACACAGCATCGGCATCTCCGTCATCACTGGAGGGAAAATCAGAGGCCTCCTCCATGGCGACGCCGGCGAGCGACTCGTCGTCGAGGCATATAAATCAAAATTTAATTATGTCGCAGGCCAAGGAGGCGGCAGGAGTGGCAGGAGAGCCCGTGCCCGTGCCACAGCCGTACGGCCAGAGTGCCTCATCCGGCGGTGGCGGCGGGGGAAGCAGCATCACCAGCTTCGACTCCTCCAACGTGATCGATGGCCACAGCCAGAGCCTGCCCACTCACCAGCCGCCTCACCTGCAGGACACGCACTCGCACTCGCAGTCCAGGATCCAGGCGAAGGATACGGCAGGACCCTATCCCATCCCGGTCCACCGGCCGGAGCCCGTGGAGAACCACCTGGAGGCGGGCAACGGCATCGAGGGCGGCGGCCTGGAGAACCTCTTCGGCACGCCCATGTACTTCGGCACCGAGAACTCGACGGTGGTCACCACCCAGATCGGAGCCACCGCCCACGTGCCCTGCACCGTCCACCACATCGGCGAGGGGGTGGTGAGTATCGGGGAAATGAGGGGGTTGACCACGCCTCCTTTTCGTTTTAATATTTTATCAAAACGAAATCCATCACTGTTGCTTTGTTTGACTCGGGAAACGACCACGGCGACGGCGATGATGATGATGATGATGACTTTTGTGCCAGTTCCTTTTGTCGAGGAGTGGCTTTCTCCTTATTGGAAAAACATTGAATGTTAATTGATGAGGCCCGAAATCGATTGGGGGTTGGGAAATTATTAATTTCAATTATAATCGGGAAAATACTTATTTGTTTTGGGGTGTGCTGAACAAAATAACATTTATAAAATCCCTTTTGTTTAACAAACATATTCTACCTTTAGGAATTTAAAATGTGATATTTCCAATTACCATGATACTAGAAGAAATACTAATAACTTTCAAGGAAAGACAAGCATTGATGGTTGTGTTAAATTTAATTATTTCAATATATTTTCACAACTTTACTTACATGTTTCTTAGTGCTAATTAAAGTAAGCCTCCCTTTTATGTTTATTTTTCTTGGCTCTAGTTTTCCCCCAAGGAAAGCGGGAACTTTCCAGAATAAACGCTGAATCCTATTACTCCGATTTCCGGGTAAAGTTTATTTGTTTCCCATTTCCACCTGCCATCTGCGACAGAATTTAATTAAGTCGCCCCGCTTATCGAGCCACTTGTGTGTCTGAGGCTTCCCTGCTTCCCAGAGGCAAGTTGATAAGGTAGTAAACACACAGATTTCGGACATTCGGGCCGAGCAGAATCGCCGCGTGGCTCATTGAGCACACAAGCTGGCAAAGAGAAGGGGGGCCAAATTACACCTTTCGACGAGAGTGTGGGGGTTTTCGGCATTGACATGTCATGGCCTCGAGTGGTATTAATTTTCCGCTTGTCTAGAGTTATTACTCATACGCCCTGGTGTACGTCACGTTCCGTGTATTTGCTCGGGCCCAAAAGACACGGAGCCGTTTAGGCCAAAGTCCCGAGGAGCCGGACACCCGATTAAGCCACCGCCCATCCCAAATGACCTCGGTGCGTGTTTGCTGCGTGTCTGGTTTAAATTGACGATTTCATAATTGTGCCTTCAAGTGTGCGGAAGTTAATAAGCACTTAAGTCCTCGAAGACCCAATGCGAGTGTGGGTGAGTGTGCTGGTGTGTTAGTGTGTTAGCCATTTGCCACTTTGCACGGCTGCGTGCTCAAGTGGGAATGCCCTGGCTTATATGGGCCACACAATGGGCTTGGATTCGGGTTCGGGGTTTGGGTTTTAGGCTGGTTGTTTCGGCCTAATAAGTCGGCAATTTGTATTATGGAAATCGGGTTCACTGGGGTTAGCAAAATATTATCATCGTGTCTTGGCCCTCTCAATGCACTCGTCCCGAGGCAGTGGGCCCTCTAATTGCACAGTGCTCAAAGGGAGCCATGTTTAATTCGCCAGATGCATTCATTAGAGCCTGACATATAGTATGCATATATACATGGCGCTTCACGCACTCGTTGCGTAATTGGCAAACAAAGATCTGTATACCGTCCCCAATGAGTCGGAAATTCAATGGGTGACTGCACGGAAAGAAAAGTTCATAAATGTTAATTTATTTTATTAAATAATAAGTAGTTTCACCAAAGGAAATCACTTTTCAAACTAAATATGGGTTATTCATTTAATAGATTTTCCTTTTAAGTTAATCATTATTAAAGTGAAAAGACCTATCAATTTTTCTGAGTTCTCCCTTTGACACTAGCCAACTTAGAGCTCTTTGAGCGCTGCAAGTTCTCCGTCTAAATGGGAAATGCACTTTCATTTCATTGCACTCGCCATGTGTGCGGAGCATTAAAATCTTGAGCAGGGAGCTTGAGGCATTGGGCGAATGGGAAAGGGAAAGGGAGGATGATGGTGCAAGTTCAGTGGACAGGAAACGTACACCTCCAGACCAGGAAAATGATTTCCATATTCGCAACTCCTCTGCACTGCGGCAGAACTCCCAATCGAAATGCTTTGTCAGGTGCGCGCCTTTGTTCCCTTTGGTTCCCTTTAGTTCCCCGCGAAAAAAGCCCCCTTTTTTCACTCAAAGAATACACACTAAACATTTCCGCGATTGGGGCTTTGTTTTGTCTGAGCCTTCGCCGCCGTAAATTTGCTTTGGACTTTGGACAATAAAATGCAGGAAACATTAAATAAATGAATTGCTTCCTGGCAAGCGCGCCTTTGTCTCGGCATTTGCCTGCAATTTTAATTTTTGTCGCCCCTCCGCTTTCGCAGTGGTTGCCTTTTACGAGTGGGGATGACATCGGGTTAATGGGAGTGGAACACCTTAAAGCCGAGCTTGTTTATTGCTCCCTCTTTTATAATGCTGTTGACAACATTCCATTAAAGTAATGCTATTAATTAAGACCCTTTTCCTGCATATTACAGACAAATCTTCTAGCCAGAAATGGAAATTTTCTGGCAAATTTAAAGCCCATAAATCAAATGACACAAACAGCAAGAAGTCCTTGCACATACACACATATAAAGACACACACATGAGGGGGAAAAGCGGAAAAGAGCACTTCGAATTAAGAATTACGACACTCGAATGTGGCTGGGCGGACATTAAAATATGTCATTAGGGTATTAGTCGAGAGCAGCAGCTTAAATGGCATTTAAAATAAACTAAGCAAATACGTGTGTCCTGTGTCAGCCATCACCCGAAGGACCCTAGCCCTTTGGCTTTGCCAGTTGCACCCGGCTCATATAAATTGAACTAAATCAGCACTCGAGCAGCAGCGACAGTGAGAGCAAAAATTTATACTACAGCGATGACTGGAGAAAACGAATTTTTGAAAGAGTTTGCCTATAGCTTTGTATATTTTTTCTAGGAAAGACTGGTTAGATTCAGAGTAAATGTAATAATGAAAAGCGAACTTATTCATATGAAAGAAAATCATTGCAAAGTAGAATTTATTATTTTAAGGAACAGCTCAACCCTTGTTAAGTACTTGTTTCGTATTAAAAATAAACTCCTGAAAATACCTTCAAGGATTCCGAAAATAAAAAAAATATATAAAATAAATAGTTGTTGAACCACTTATAATTGATTAAATAATCTTCCTTGGTTTCCTATTTCCCGGCAGGACTCGTTTCGCTTCGAGGACAATCACTGTAACCCATATAGCTCGTATATATGTCCCTCGACGACTTTCAGTTGACTTGCTTCTGTCCATGGCTTTCCGCCCGGAAACCCCTCCGCTCCCCACAGCCCAACTCCATTTAATTCCGCTTCTGGTCCTGCTTCCTCTGCCACTGCCACTGGCTCTGCCGATGCCTCCGCCGATGCCTCCGCCGATGCCAATGCCGATTCCCATGTTTGTCCTGTTGCTCCTGCTCTGCGGCTCTGCGCCCGTCTGTGTGACTTGAGCACTTAATTACTTTTTAGATAAATTGTCGTTTTTAATGTCTAGACTCGCCTTCTCCTGTCCCAGGGATATTTTCACAGAGAAAAGTAGCAGTAATTAAATGTGCTCACAGCATGCCAGGATTCTACGACGCTTCCGACAAAGGCGAATGCGAAAAGCTTAAATGCTGAAAACTCGAAAATAGCCCCCCGCCCCTTCCCCCGCCTTCAGCCATCACTTCACTCACTCAGATAGAAGGTAATTTATTTATAATTTTCCAGAGAATGTTCACCAATGCAGATTAGAAAATATAATTGTGCGGGGAGGGCGAGTGAGGAAAGCTCTTGCCGCTGGAACACTTTTCCTTCGCTTGGCCAGATAAAAATACCGAAATTGGTATTTTATGAAAATTAACGCCGGGGGCCTTGCCCTCCGGATCGGATAAGTCGTTAAGATAAAAAAGGTTACGCAAATGTTTAAGCGGAGTGGCCCTGCATAGGTATTCGTCTATGCGTGTGTGTGTGTGTGTGCACATATAATTTGCAAAGTTTAAAATCAGATAAACAGAAATTGCCCTTGTCCGAGGAATGAAGGCTAAACCGAAACCGAAACCAGAACCAAAACCGAACAGAAACCATTTAGTTTGCCTGCCAGCGGAGCGACAAAAAACAAACAAATAATTTAGCCAGCACATTGATGAGGGTTGGCAAAGGATAATACAGGATATGCTCGGCATCGCTCTGCCGAGCTTAATCAAAACAAACACATAATTCCTGCACAATCATAATTTTGCATAGTTTCACCTCGGCTTCAGCTTCCCGCCACCGAAATTGGGTTGAAAATTCGCTCAAAATTTGGCACACACAATGTACGATTGTGTGTGGGCTTTTGCATGAGTTATATTCCATTGTGGAATTGTTGGGCGAACAAAGTAATACACATTGTTGTGCCAGTTCCCCATTTTCATGTGAACTCTATGTGTTCCTCATTTTTTATTGCTCACATTCAGTGGCGAGTGTGTTTGTGAGCTCAAAGCCCTTGCACTCAAGTCTCGCAACAACAAACAAAAAGCAAGGACCTCAAGCAACACAGACTTTTTTACCCAAGCACTCACACTCGCAACGACACTGTGTTGTAGCTCTTTGTCGCTTAAAAAAACATAAAATATTATAAAATATTTTACTGCCAGGCTCTGTTATGTGTTATGGTTGCAATGACCTTCGGGCTCGAGTATTATATGTATTTTTCTGAATCAGTATCTGTGTGTCCTGATATTTCTTTCCGTTTCGGCTTCTGCGTCTGAGTTTCTGTTTGCTCAGCTGCTTTTTAGTCCCTGGAATTCCATGAAAAGTTCATAGGAATCGTTGAACTTATCCTTCGAAGGTCCCGAGGGTATCAGTTATAAATAGGAATAAATATGACTGTCTAAATGTGATGTGAATCACAAAAAGAAAACTCATATCAGCTTTATGTTTTCTTAAGAAAAATTTTATAAAGTTGTCACTTTTATAAAGTTATCACTTTCACTTCTTCAATTAAACAAATATATCAGAGATCTTATTAAAAGTATTTTATTTTACTTTATTTGATTTGATTTTGAGACAAGGAAACAACAGTTCGATAAGATAT